GTGAAAATGAGTTGTAAAAGTGATAAATGGGCCACATTTCTCCAGCTGAAGAGCACTGGAGCTGGCACAGTGCTCACAGCCAAACATTTAATTGCTCAGTACAAAAAAAGAAAAAACACATGAAGCATCAAAAAAAAAAAAAAATGAAAAGGTTAATCCAGACTGCATCCTCCCCTCTCTGCTTTTTTCCTTCTTTAGCTATGAGCTGTTTAACTACTTCACAGCACAAAAATATTAGGTTACCCATGGCAACAATTCAATAAAATAGCCAATCACATCTGCCCTTTCAAATATTTCTAAAATGTGGCAGAGTCGACGCATAATGGGAGACTGTTCGTTACCAATTCACGCCAGGATTTGTTGTTGTGTGAGAAATGATCGCATGGCGTGTTTTGACAAATTCAAGGCTCCTTCTGAACGAGCCGGCACACTTTTCAAGGAATGGATCCGCTGTTATCAACCGGATTTGTAAGCTCTGATTTAGCCCTGGATTCAAGCCGTTTTCCCCCCCTCAAAGCACCAAACACTGTGGTTGATGCATCCCATAATAGCTACGCTTGTCTCCATGGACACCGCCACCAGTGTGCAGTAGCCCCACCTCCTTCTAAGTGTTATTATTTCATAATAACTAGCTTGTGACAGTTCTCATCAGGAAATTATGCTCACAAATAGAGGACAGGAGAAAGGGTGAGCCAGGGTTTGTTTTGGCTGAATTTAATTTCGTCTCTGGATTCTTGCAGCTAACCTTTTTCCCTCCGCAGTCATATTTTCCAACCACACAGCTCCAGTCTTTTAGAATGTCACTGGGGGCTGCCTCTCCCTCCTCTACCCTGCTGTTCTCCGCCGCTCATCCCTGCGCCGGCCCGTACCTGTACCTGTGTGTGGACGTAACCAAGGCCTCCTCCAGACCCTCGCTGAGAACAGGAGATGACACAACTTTCTGGGTCACTTCTGTCACGGTCCAAATGCCACTCAGGGGGGGCTGACCTTTCCAGTGGCCGACGCTGGAGCAGGCGGCCTCCATGCTGGCTGTCACCCCTGTGGTTCCAACCACAAACACACGCTCCCCAGAGCTTTTTTTTTCTGCTTTTCTTCTGCAGGATTTGCCTCCTCCTTTTTTTTTTTTTTATCCCTGACAATACATGTTAGAACAACGGAGGTGAATCAAAGCTGACAAGCGAAAATAGCCGCTGTAAAATATGGTTGATGTACGAGATCTTGGCAAAAGTCAGGACCCACAGCGATGACCACAGAGACATGACGGATCAGGTCTCACTGGAAGGAACTCCAAATATGCTTCCTGGATTTATTTGAAGGTGTGGGTTACACAAATGAGAGCTTGAATCTAAATGCAATACCTCAATTAGCGAGGAGCCAGTCAACACCTTTCTCTTTAGCAAAGTACACAATCTGAGATATCTAGACTTCCACTGCCAAGCTGGTCCTTCTAACAAGCAGTGCTTTAGGGTTGTCAATATGGAATATTTTAGTGGCTATGTTTTTTTATTTTTTTTGCAGCGTCTTGAGAGCTCAGATTTAGTTTTGGCCATGTTGCTGCTAGAGCCACATTCTCAGTGACTCATACATCTCTAAACAAAACTAGCCCCCACATCTCCCCCTGCCCTTTAGAGTTGCTTAATGTGCCAAAGTTGTTCAGTTTCCCTCAAACACACCATCTGCCCTCCATCCTGTCAATCAAACATCCACTGCATTGCCATTTAAAAATCCCCCGGACCATTTTTCTCATGCTCCATTGTTGTTTTTAAATAACAGCCTCTGATTAGCAGGCAGCGCTTACTAAAAATAAAATCTCTTCCTATCTGCGTTAGCTAAGGGCAGATAGGCTGCCCCCCCCCCCCCCTCCCCCTCCCAGTGCAGTTATTCAAGCCCTCTAAAAAAAAAATCCTTTTTTAATTTCAAACTGGCTGCTCTCAACTCTTCCAGGAGAACTTTTATTTATTTCCACCCTGTGATGTCTCGCTGGCTGAGGGAGGCTGAGAGGATCTCTACTAAAAGTACCACGCAGCCCGAGGCAGAAACAGGCCAGAGCTCTCCTCACATAAATAACGCAGGAGCGTGGAGGAAGTATGTTTGGTGGTCTGCTGCAGGGATAGAACCAAGCCTTCACTCTGTCTCTGGTTCTGTCCTTCTTTCTCGTTCTCAGCGTCTCAGTGGTCTATCCAGCAGATTGACTGAAGAGGCATAAAACAGCAGGATGTGGAAGAGATTGGGCCAAGATGTACATCTGAGTGGATAGTGGACTTCCAATAGCCTGGGGGGCCTGGGCAAAACAGAGTGGATGCTGTAAACTGCATCAAACTAATCCGACACATGGGAGACACATATTTAAGAAATGATACCAATATTATAACAGCAAAAAACATGTGTAACTAAATCCTTCTGCACGGAGATTCTCTGCAATATTGTAACAGAAAAAACATGATTTCAAATATGCTTTCAATTTGTTCTCCTCCGTATAAAATCTATTATCAGTGTTCCTCATCTATAACAGTAAATAAAACAATTCCTTTAATGAAAAAGGTAAATTAAAACCAGTCTAGTTCTTGCTGGATTCCTCTTGAGGATCACATTTCTCCACAGCACTGGTGTCTAGGCCGCAGGAAATGACCTCTCCAAACTGGCCTTATTTGGAGAGCACTCGAGTGCCCCATTGTTGTGACAAGAACAATGAATCTAAAAAGAGGTGGGAGACAAGGGCAAGAGAAACACAAAATAAAGATGTCTGGCTCTCAGAAATCATCAGATGGAAGTTTGTTTTTTTTCTATTTTTTGCACTCACATCAGGGAAATAATATCAGCTGACGCCGCCGTCTGCGTTTGCCTTTGATGTGGATTTTAAAAAAAGCTGTATTTAGTTTGCATTGTGTGCAGAACCTAATTTATAGGAGTTGACCCTGACTCCTCTTTTGTGCGACAGCCATCTTGGAATACAATGACAGGAAGGCTTGAAAACTTGAGAGGAACTGAATCTGCTGTTTTCCATTTTTCCCGCCCCCCTGTTCTTATTCAAGAGAATTTTCCCTCCCTGAGTTAAATGGCTCTGTTTTTGTGTGCAACAGGAGCCATAAAGTGATGTCTAAGCATTCCATGGCCAGGCAGTAGGGCCAGGTTTAACTGGACACATGGGGACAGTTGTTTTGTACCACATGGAGCAGGGGGGGGGGGGGGTCAACATAGGAAGCCATGGCCGCCTGGCGACCTCGCAGTGACCCACTGGCCTCCTCATGGAGGGATCAAGGCCTAGATGGGAGCCGGCTGAGGGTTAGAGGTTTAAGGGTAACAAATCATGCAACACTTTAGTGGTATTTAACCCCCACATTCCATATCTCTCTAACTGTGTGAGCCGTGCATAACTCTGCAAACAAACATAGAAAAGTGTATTTTTATTCTCCATGGGGGCGGATCTCTTTAGGAACAGAACCAGTGCGGGTTACGTTATAAAAGTCTGTAATGGTAGAAATGTCTGCTTTACTCAGTTTTAATACCACAGCAGTTAGAGGAACTAAACGTGTGTAAAATGATTCTAATCTTATTATGAGATTCCCAAAAGTTACTGCAGGTTCTTTACACTTTTACTTTCTTTCCTCTTATCGTTTTTGTGTGCGTGTGCCGTAAAGAGGAGGACACGACAGGGACCCCCTATAGGCAGTGCATATCTGCCTCTAAAAACATCACTCAACTTTATGTTCTCTTCAGGATCCCTTCACCGAGCTGTGTTTCTTCCATTGGTGCCTGCTCATAAAAAAGGACTAGAGGACTGTAAAGATGTGCAACAGACAACCTTTAGATAGTCACACACACCTTATCGTGGAGATCAGGTGGTTTTTTACGAACCTGTAGGCACTCAGAGCTTAGGTCAAAGAAGTAGAGGAAATCATGGAGAGGTTATGCTTTGATTTAAAGAGCATATCTATAGTTATTAATAATAATAACGCGTGTATAACAGCACGCTCCAATATTTGTTTTGAGAACATATTAAAGGGCAAATTAAGGGATAAGAGGACTGAATGTTTTCATGAAGGTGGCACAGAGACCGGATTCATTTACATTTGATTTGACCTCAGCTCTCTGACTCAGCATGAACCTTAACTCCCTCTATGGAGCTCGCTGACCACTTGGCTTAACAGATGATGGAAGTAAAGCTGGGATCAAAAAAGTTTTGAATGAAAACTCATTGTAAATGTGATAAATAATGAATCATCTTAATATGTAAAGAAAATGTCAGAAAAGCAGTTTATTAGAGAGAATTTACTCTTTTTTTACCTTAAAAAACATTTTTCATTTCTGAAGTAATTTTGTTTTTGAACAAAATGATCAATCAATATTGATCTTTAAAGGTTCCTTTGAAAAAATTTACTTGTTATAGGGGTAAGGGTAGCTTAGCAGTTAGTGGGTGAGCCCCATGTACAGAGGCTATAGTTCTCCAAGCAGTTGGCCCGGGTTCAAATCCGACCTGTGGCTCCTTTTCTGAATGTCATTCCCCACTCTCTCTCGTCCTCATTTCTGACTCTAAGGCATAAAAAAAGCCCAAAAATAGTCGTTAAAAAATGGTTATACATTTATGATTCATTAATATGTTTGTATTTACAGTTTGTGTGTTTGCATTGTTGTGCATATAAATTGATGTAAGTATGTGTATATAATTTTTTACATTTTTATTCAAAATTGAATATTCTTGCTGTTCAGCAAACAGTTTGGTTTTCTTTAGTGAGTGAATTATCGATGTAATTAATTATTATTGTTTATTGTTCTTTATATCTGTTAAAAAATATTAGCATTTAGAGTTGCAAAAATAACGTAACCAAAGAAAAACATTGTAATTACGACTAAAACCCTTCATTGTATCGCAGAACAGAAGTAAAGCCTAAATTAAGAGTGTTAATAGCCAGACCTATTTTTAACACCAGACAAATAAGGACTAAACAGGAAGACCGGTTGAGGTTAGTGGTTACCATTAGAAAAGAATTCAAACTAGAATGTCAAGCTTTATACTTTATTTTGAATTAAAACGATTTCATTGAGATAAGTCACACAAGAAGGAGCAGAGAGAACGTGTTGATAACACATCTATGACCAAATATAGCTGCATCCACCCTCAGTTTATGATGTAAGGTAGAAAAAGGTCACAGAGAGAGCAGCTCTAATCAGAAATGATCCTGTTCACCCCCTGCAGAGCGACTCAGAGGGCACTGAGTGACGCAGGTGAGAGTCAGCTGTCCACTCGGCCTGCGGACCGCACCTCTCTTATCTGCCGACGGAGCGGAGGAGGAAGGAGTGACAAAGGCCAGGGCTTTGGGTGTGATAAGGAAGGCCTCTATGTCCTGCTTTGGCCCCGGCTCTCACCCTGGCTGTCCGCAGCGAGGGGGCCATCCAGGGGCCAAGAGCTGACCGCGACCAGGAAAGGCTGGGGGGGGGGGGTGTTTTCTTTGCACACAGGTATGAATCTGAGCCTGTGCTGTCACATATACAGCAGCGCCGGTGTGTATTTGCATGCGGCGGCTTTGAGGCAGTGAAAAGAGAGAGCGGGAGGACGAACAGACAAAGACAGAGGGTCAGGTGGAGTTCAGGGCAGATCTTTTGCCAGGAGTCTCACTCTGCAGGAAAGGCAAATTGCTTCCGGATCTCGGTATCCACCCTTGTTCTTACCCTCCCCACCTCCTTGCCTTCCTCTCGCTTTCCTGCCATGTTTTTTTTTTTTTGTAACCGTTCCTCACTCTTTTTGTCTTTACTCTGACTCCTGTGGCGGTGGGTCCGGCTGGGCAGCGTGGCACAGGGTGACAATGTCTGTAGGGAAGCGGTCTTTGAGCAGGATACCTCTGTCTCTCTGGCAGTCCAGCTCGCCTATAAAACCGTACCAGTAGATCACAAGGCCTGGACCGAACCTGAGGAGCAGAACAAAAGACACAAAGTGGAGCCTTTGTTAGTACATCATCACTGTCATCCAAATGAGTTCTTAGGTAGCTATGAAGGAGTTACCTGGTGCTGTTTTAAATCGCCTACAGCTGTTGACTTTGGATTTGAAAGGCAAAACAAAAAGCAAGAAGAAGTAAAGAGATAGGATGATGGGACAGAAGTGTGATTGATCTGTGAGAGATAAGGTCACGTAGGTATTTTCCTTTGATCACAGTCCAGGAAACATGTGCAGAATCAAAAAAAAAAAAAAAAAGCCGCCGGGAAGATTAAGATCTGTCTGACAGGGTGATACACACTCGATCACATTACAATGGCAGTGAAATAACAATAATCTGTGAAATAACAAAGCTCTAAACCAAAGCCTCGGCATCCTGTCATTGGAAGCCTTTGGCACATCACCGAGTTCAACAAAAAGTCTGAGACTAAACACTCTGCATCTGGTGGCTGATGTTAGCCAATGCTGCAGCGTCCAGCTGTTTCTTTCTCTTTAAAAGCTAAAGCAACTTCGCCTTAGTTGGCAGACACCGCAGCTCCTAAAATCTATAAATAATAGAGTGCCAAGGATGTCTGTTACCCAGTTCAGGCCATTTAAATAAAGAGATTTCTTTTTTTTTTCTTTTGTTCTCTCCCTTTGCTCATTTTTCTGCTATTGTGTTTTATAGAGTGTAGCTACTGTACACCTCAAGCTCTGCTGGAAGGTGCAGAAACTATTTAAAAGAAAGGAGCTCTTCACGGGGAATATGCTACGTTTCACTCCTTCCTCTCTCAAAGATGATAAATCATCTTTCCAGCTATTTATTATGCCCCAAAGAGCCACCGGTGGCCCCTCTCTGCCTCATATAGATCATACCTATTCTTTGAACATTAGCTGCCATGCATAAAGACATGTCACAGTTGAACTCTGAACGAAGAGCACCAAAAGCCCCCACATGCAAGACCAGATTCGAGGGGGGGGTTTGACGGCGCTCCGGTCCCAGACACTCTATATCCTCAGACAGTTAACAATGTTGTGGGGGGCCTCCAGGGACCCAGACAGGAAGCTAGCCAAAGGGCCACGGCGAGCTTCAGAAGTTCAGCGCCAAGGTAAAGTGCATAAACTGCTGAACCTGTGATCAATCATTTCACATTCAAACATGGACTCAAACACATGAAGGTGTTATTTTAATTACAATTATGGAAATCTTTAGTCTTTCTTTATGAGCATCATTTATGGGTTTGTACCTAGATTGATGACCTTACAAGTTTGACAAGGTATTCTAACCACATAAATTATGAAGTGCAAGAAAGAGGTGTCGTGACATAGCCAGCTATATGTGTCTTCTGTGCAGTGTTGATTAGGCCTTGAGGCAGTGCATGTTCTACATATAGAACCTGTATGGTTCACACACATCATGTGTATCTACACACACACACACACACACACACACATCCCTCTCTCTGTGAGGGGCCCTTGCAGCCGTACATGCTTCTGCACCCCATCCGCGCATTCTGCGTTTTACAGTGTGTGATTTACGGTGCTGTATCTATGAGCAAACAGGCCAAAGCTAACAGCCCTGGAGAAAGCCCGCAGATGCACGCTGAAAGTTCACCGCAAAGTCACACACACACATAGCTCAGTCTTCATCGCTGCTCAAGCCCCCAAAGTCTCATCGTTTCCACGGTCCACTGCTGCACACAGCCGCCAATTCTTAATATGGAAATGTTATGGAAACAAAACCTAAACATTTACATTAGATGACTTTGGAAAAGGGGGTTATGCTCTTCTTTTTATTCAGCCGCAGAGCTGTGTGTATTTCCTGTGCTGTGCAAGGGGGATGAAAAGGGATGAAGTTTAAAAAAAAAAAAGAAAAAAGAAAAAAAAAAGGAGACTTGTCTGCACAGAGTGGAGAGAGGCAACCTTCTGAAAAAGGTTAAAACTGTACATCAACAGATAAGGCGGCGGTGCACGATACATCATGTCTCGGGGTCTGTCTGGGGAGGCCAAGCACAAATTGAAACAAGCAAAATTATAAACACAGGGGAGCCATGTCACCAAGGTCTTTCCATACCGTAAAGAAAATAAATGGACTTTGAATCCTACTCAGAATTAATACAAGTCAATAGTACAGGAACCTTGAGCTAAAAATCCGAGACTGGGAACAATAACAGTGAGGGGGGGGAGGGAGCGGTCAGGGGGCCAAGACTGAGCCTACAGAGGAGATTCTGAAGAGAAAGCTCCGAGTAAAAATATACAGTATATGACCCCTTATATTGCACCATGCAGTCACTCTGAAGTTTAAACACCGGAGGAGGCGAATTGAAGTTCATTTTCAAATTTGTAGCCAAATTATGGTTTATTATGTGGGCTGGCTCATCTTAACCTGGCGTGTGTGCTAACAACACACATAACCTCAACGAGTCTGAGTCAGCCATCTTCCAATAAACACCTAACAACGTAACGAGTCGGTGAAATTGTTTGTGAAATGTAGCTAATTTCAGCCAAGAGGCCACTTGACGAGCCTGGGCGTGGATCGCGGCTGCCAGCCACGCTTTCGTTAGCGTTAATGAGCGGTTGGTGGTCGCGTTTTTTTTAAAGCAGGTGCCAAGCAGCTCGCAACGGCGGCTTAATGAGAGCAAGGCACTCAGCTGCACAAAAAAAAAAAAAAAAAAACCTCGAATGGAGAAGAGGGAGTGTTATTAGTGTCTGCCTGCACACACACACACACACACACACACACACACACACACACACACACACACACACACACACACACACACACACACACACACACACACACACACACACACACACACACACACACACACACACACACACACACACACACACACACACACACACACACACACACACACACACACACACACGAGTGCTGCAGCCAAGTGAGTCACAATTTAAACAAATGCAGAACACAAGGGAAGAAAATGGACTGCAAAAGCTAATAAAAACACAATAAAGCACAGAGCGAATGTAGTTTTTTCTGTGTGTCTCTCTGATTTGCTGAGAATTCTGAGGTTGCTGAAGGTCACACAGCACCCCCCCCCCCCCCCACAAAAAAAGTCAGCATTTTACCTTTGTACAGAACACACACATCAAGGCTAATTTGATCTGCCACATTTGGTGAGAGAAAGCTTAAGGAAAACTGGGGGCCGCGCACTTCTGCCAAAACACATTACACTACATGATGGATTATCAATAAAATCAAGACAAATTTACGCTCCACCCTTAAAACACCGTCACTTAATTTTACATAGCAACGCTGGCCCGTTTTAAACAAACGCTCGGGCAATGATTTAGACAGCATAAGCCTCTACCTGAGGGTGAACTCTGTGTCTCCGAGGTCTCCCTACAAAGACCTCTTTGTTTCCAGCATCCATACATCAGGTCACAAGGTAGGAACACTGAAGCACTGCCAACATTAGCTCCAGTCAGTCTTTTCTCTGCGCTCCGAAATGCAGGTATGGAATCTGCTCAACTTCTTTTTTTTTTTTGACATAAAGTATCCAGAGTGATCCGGACGAGAGGTACAGTGGGATAAAAAGTCTGTGTTATACAAAAAAAAGGTTTGTACACAGCCAAAATGTGTCGATTAAGGACAAATAGCCTTTTTCTTTTCAATAGTCGTTCTATGCAAAAATCAGCCGCTCCTTCATTACCTTTTTTTTTTTTGGTATGTTGGAACCAAAACGCATGATCAGCTCAAAACAACACAATGCATACTGTGATGTTTAGTAGCTTTTTGGAAATGAATTTGCCTACTGCGAAAACAACTGGAATGGTGGAGTGTTCTTAGTAACATTACCATAAAGGTCTCTACTTTACAAACTCTTCTCTTACAAAATACACTTTGAGAAAAGACAAAGAAGTGTACATGTGAGCTATTCTTCAACAGCATCATCTTTTTGAAGCTACAAAATGCCCTACTGAGAATCAACGTATTAACCAAAATGACAGAATGACATCTGCTAGTTATCGACGGCTGCTTTGCTAATGTACAACTTTTGATCAAAGAACGGGGGTGATGTAAGTCTAGCTGCAAAATGCCTCAGTGCTGTCACACACATCAGTACCAGAGCCTCTGATTGGTCATAGGGACTCAATAAAACGCCATCATGAGATGACTATGGGGACGACTAACATTTTCCAAAACATTGATGAATGGATTAGAAAGTCCCTGAAGAGAGCTGATCTTATAGAACTCGTTAGAACAGAACAGCTCCCTGCTTCACCTCCCCAATTAAAGCCTCTAGCACGCACGTTACAAAGACGTCACAAATACATTAAATGAGTCACTATGATACTTTCTTAGAAAATCACACAATCTAAAAAGGATGCTTAAGAGAGAGAGTTGGACAGTGTAAATGACGACACATGCCGTGTCAATGGGTTGATCGGTCAAACTGCTGGAATAGTTGCGTTGACTTGAAAAAACTACAATGTCAGAGATGTTTTGAAGGGACTGACGTGTTTATTTACAGGCTCAGATAATGGTAGTGTGATGGGATTGTACTTGTTGTGTTTAAAAAGAGGGGTGGGCAATGACAGAAAGACTGCATGCTAAGTGATACAGCGCTGCAGCTAATCACTGTGCAACCAGATTTTTTTTTATTTTAGTGGTTATTGCAGGAGCAGCCACCCTGGTAACAAAGACACCCTGAAAGCACAAAAACGGTATCTTTAAAGTCTGACTGTCTGGTGGGACGCCGATGAACAGGGAGGTAAATCCAAACTATACACCCTCCTGTCCTTATTTAAAAAGGAGCTGAATGAAAGAGTTCACTCTCCCACAAGTTATTAACATGACTAGAGCTAAGAAGAGAACACTGCCGTTTCTCTACTCCACCGCAGCCTTTGTCTTTGTGGGCACGGTAAAGTTCAATTCTGCTCAGGTATGTAAAACACAAATACAAGGCAGACGTAGCATCATAATTAAGGTTGAATAGAGGGCAATAAAAATCCAACAACATCTTC